ACACCGATCGACACAGTGCCAATGAAAATTAACTTGTTGGATCCCAACCATCGAAGACATTTTCTGAAAATTTACAAAAACTTGTACGTAAAAATAGAAAATCTTTGATTATTTCGATTACGATTACTTTCTTCTTGAAGGCCGTTGTTCTTCGCTTGCTGCCGTTGTGGCGCTGACGACATCCGGATCACCCATGCGATCTTTTTAATTCATGTTATGACAGCTAAAAGCAATCTATTTCAATATTAATAATAGACGGTTTGAAGAAAAAAGTTTTACTTTTTATTAGTTTTCACTGTTTAAAAAAATCTTTAGTAAAATAAACAATCATATGCTTATTTTTTTTTAAAGCGAAATGTTAAATAATCGAGGACAGTTAGATTGTCTTTGTTAGGCGGCTGCCTGGCGCCCTAAAGGACATTTGGTTTTAAATCCCTGATCACTATCTTCTGGCCAATTGGTCTTTTGATTCCGTTTCCGTCCGCAGTGAACCGCAGACATAAAATGAAACGACGCTAAAAAAGCACGACAATTCGAGCATCAATTTCAATTTAAATTCAGATAATTACCCATTTATTTATAAACAAAGAAGAAAATTATGCAATTAAACCTCGATTTGCTTTCTAATATAACATTTAAATTCAAATCAAAAGACAATTGATGATTGATACCTTAACATTAGGGAACCATAAACATTTCCGAAGAAGAACAGGAAATTCCCGAAAATCCCAGAATAGTAAATTATTGCATTATTACTTTACCGTAGTTTTATTTGAGCTGTACCTTACTGCTTCAAACTATGACAATTCTCGATAGTTAATCAAGAGATTCAGGTCAGGTTGCATTTTAGTCCATCGATTTATATTATACAATTTTTCTTGTTTTAAGCTTTATAGGAATTTTTCCTTCCAAGATGCTGCTTCATATGTCTATGTTTTGTATCATTTAATAACTCCCAGTACAAATAACCATAAAATGTTAGTGTTTTTCTTTTAAAATAATATGTGCCATACTGGCATAAGTAAACAACAGATCCTTTTGGATGTGTTTAACTTTTTGTTTGGTTAACCGCAATATATCCAAGCAGCTCGAGATAAAATATATACTAGGAGTATTCACGATGTTTGTATTAACCCTGTTAACTCCGTTAGGTCGTGTTAGATCGAGAAAAACGATGACGTAGACTTGTAAGAATCGGTTAGTTAACGTTGCTCGATCTAACAGTTCAGGGGCAATGTTAAATGTTAGGTCGAAAATGTAGTCATATGGCTATCCGCTAGGGCGTAAGTAACCAACATAGTAGACATGAATTTAACAGCTGTTTTTTGTTTGCACGTATTTTTATTCTTAAATACGTATTAATTAAATCAGACCAATATATTTCTTTTGTTAATTTCTGACCTGTCCTCATACTGTCATTCATAATAGATACATCCCCTATCCTATAAAGTTGCATGCTGTTAGACCTTAGGTTACAAGTTAGGTATGGCGGCATGAAGCAAGTTATTTGTTAGTACTTTTCGAGTGAATAGATAGCATTTTGAATGAAAAAGTTGATTAATTTTCTTTTTTTACTAACTTCTGACATCGTAAGACACATAACAAAACCATAACAAACAACAAGCCTTCAAGGATTGTTACAGCTTAATTTTTCGTTCTACCAAACGCCACGTGCAGCATTGCGGAAAAATTAACGTTTAAAATGCTCAGCTAAGAAGCTCATTAATCTTTGAGCATATGCTTTTTATGTGTGCATTGCATGATAAACGTTTGTCAAAGATTACTCTACGTACTACTGAGGTGTGATATTACTTTGCATCACAAACTTCCGACGCCTCGAAAGCGAATAATTTTACTACAAAGATGGTAACAAAATTTAAATAGGAAGAAAAATTAACATTTAGAACATCATTAAAAATAACTGTTTACACAACACACACATACGAAATTTTTTATTTGTGTAGCAACTAATCGAAAAATATTATGTTTTGTGGATGGCAGAAATATTTTTGAACTTGAAGGTCCTACTTAGGACGGCGTTTGTCGTTTAATGTTCCTGATAGATCCAACTCTCCTTTCGGCAGGTGTTATGGAAGACAAGCCTGATCCAGCCTTCGTCCCATGCTCTTGATGTTGTTAGAGTGGTTTTCATAAATATGTATATGCAAAACGATGGAAAACTAAGTTTTTCATAAGACACAACTCGCAATTCATTTACATTTTGCAAGGGAAGTGGACTCCTGGAGGCAAATTTGCTTTCAAGAAACAGCGACCATTGATTTATCATTTTTTGTTAAAATGATGCCACTTTAAAAGAGCCAGGTTTCTTCCTTAGAGTAGTTTATGCCAATTCATGGGGACCTTCATTTTACATTTTCTGATAAGAGTGGTCCTGGTTATAGTAAACGAGGGCAATATGGTATTTGCAAGGCTTTTTTTTCCCGGAACGCAAGGAATATTCTTGTTTTTCTCTTTAAACGACATTTACAATCGTGATTGCCTCTAGGTTATACCTTTTTGAGTTTTAATCCTTCTAATTTTGTTTTAACATTTCTCCAACCAATTTTACATCGAAACGTGTGAGGATAAAATAAGACCAATAACAAATTCCTACTCCAAAACATATGAATAAATAAAAACATAATAGTCTGATTAGTATCCATTAGACCCCAGAGTATTCTACTCTCTACGATATTGAAAGTAATTAGAGATAAGCCTTTATTTGTGATAATAAACACAATCATAAGTTTATAATGTCTAGCACCGCTAGAGCTCTCCTTTTGTTTTGCTTGGATCCATTCTGCGATGGAGGATTCTATATTTGTTTTTGTTATCCGAACAATAGGTTCGGGGCCTATGTATGGTCTTGCAGATCTTCCTCTGGCCAGTCTGTCTGCTTTCTCGTTCAGTCATACTACCCATAGTACTCGGCTTACTCGGGATAATTAGGGGACGTGACCAAGTTGCGGCGAGAAAAGAAACCAATCTCTAGGCAAGCGATAGTATGGTATGGTGGAAAAGGAAACTAGGAAGCGCGGTTTGTATTCCCCAGGCACTGCAGCCTTCTGGCTTATTGTACCTTCCTAGTTCCTTAGTTCAGTCAATAAACTCATTCCTTCTTCTTAGAAATATCAGGTCATTGACTGTTGCTGCTGCATGATTCCCTAAGTCTTTTCCGTACGTTAGGTTAAACCTCCATTGAGCTGTTGCTTCGCATTCGAAGATGATATGAGTGGCTGTTTCCTCCTCCTCATTCCATAATCTGCAAATGGGATCATCGCGGTATATACCCATGTTGTGAAGATGTTCTCTCAGATACCAGTAACTGGTTAGTAGTCTCACTACTCCTGTGAGTTTGGCCCTCTCCAATTGTAGCAGTGCTTTTTGCCAGGCTCGGTGAGGGTTGATTGAGTTTACTATGTCTAGCACCGCTAGAGTTTATCCACTTCTCCTTTTGTTTTGCTTGGATCCATTCTGCGATGGAGGATTCTATATTTGTTTTTGTTATCCTAACAATAGGTTCGGGGCCTATGTATAGTCTTGCAGATCCTCCTCTGGCCAGTCTGTCTCCTTTCTCGTTACCCAAAATTCCCCTGTGCCCTGGCACCCAAGATATCATCAGATTGTTGTGGTTCCCCAGGTTTTGGAGATTTTGGATGCATTCACTGACTAATTTTGAAGTGATTCTTTTACATGCTAATCTTTAATAGCTGCTTGGCTATCTGATCTTATGAAAAATTTTGTCAGTGTAATCTCTTTTAAGATTTTCCAGGGCAGAAGCATTGAAGGCATGTATTTCCGCTTGAAAGACCGAAGTGAACTTCCCTAATGAGTTTGATTGCTCATGTTTTGGGCTTGTACAGAAAACGCCTGATCCGGTTCCTTCGTTTGTTTTGGAACTATCTGTGTAACATATCATTGTATCTGATGCTCTCCTGTGTACTTCCTCTCCTTTATAGTCCGTTGAGACTTTATGGAAGTTGTGAAGATTGTTGTGGGTGTCTGTATAGCAAGCGATAGTGCTAAAAGGAAAAAAATCTGATAAAGCCAATATAGACCAAGGTGCAGAGGAAAAATGAAGGAAAGACCCCGGGGTAATTGGGGTTAAGCCCCACATTCGCACTTATAAATTACATTCATTCACACACCAAACTACGTTAACACTACTCAAGAGTTCTTGATACTCTTGGGAAAATTTGGGAATGAACCGCTACCCATCCGCGCTAATCACTTACCTTCACACACCAAAATTAATTCAGATTACCTCAGAATACGCGATATTCCTGGGGTTAATTGGGGATAAGATCCACATTCGCGCTAATAAATTACATTCACATACCAAAATTAATTCAGATTACCTTAGAATACGCGATTTTCCTGGGGTTAATTGGGGATAAGCTCAACGTTCGCGCTTATAAATTACATTCACACACCAAACTACGTTAACACTATCTCGAGAGTACTCGATATTCCTGGGGGTACATTGGAATAAGCTCCACATTCGCGCTAATAAATTACATTCACACACCAGTCTTCGTTAACATTACCCCAGCGTACTCGATATTCTTCGGGGCAATTGGGGATAAGCCTGCCATTCACGCTAATATGCAGTTTTAAAAAAAACATTATCATTAATCATCAGCGAAACATTAAAAATATTGATTTTCTTTATGTATGGATTTGACGTTCTTACGGGGGTATTTCAACTACGTAGCTATATGAACCCTAGGGGTGTTTTTGGATAAAAAAACAATCTGTAAGATTGTCTTGTCCGAATTCCGGGCCTTTACCTAACAGTGATGAATCACTTAGTCAAAGCCTTAATCATTGCGCCCATCCCGCAAGAAGTTTTTTTTATAACATATAGAATATTATAAGGAAAGATTTTAACTTTTGTTAGTTCTAAAGATATAAGAAAAATTATTTTCGAAGGTTTTGAAATATAAATTTTTTTAAATATTACGTTTAAATTCTTAGAAGTTTGTTAATTTTTATAAACATACAGTTGTTTAAAAAAACACATGAAAAAACCTATCTTTAATGAGCGACCCGGTGTGCTGAGAATAAACGAGCGTTCATTGTCTATCCTGCATCCACTCGAGCCCCCGGAGGCAAATAAACGCGCTTCTGTCAAGAAATGGTGGACGTGTGGCGATAAATCGTTTCTGAAGAGAAATTCATGTTAGTGATGACGTGGTGCTTGTTTGTCCATTAACATCTTCAAGGTTATGAAAATCAAAAGCAATCCAGTGATTGCGCCGAGTCCAAACAGGTATGGCTTGTACTTTTTCATCCTATGCGATAGTCTGGGCTGTTCGCTGAAAATCGAGGACGGCTTAGTTTTCGAAATTTAAATTTGTGCTTCAAAATCGAACCTCTGCGACGTGTAGGTTAATATGGAATCGTCGGAATGTTCGGACTTTACCGACCTAGGGTGCGACGTAGAGGACCTCGGCTTCTCCACCCCCGAAGACTTCCTTCTTGCTTCTTCCATTTCTTACCGACATATTTTCAAACTCGGAACATTAAAGAATCCAAACTTGAACAGTTGTGAATATAAAGAATACACCTGAAAAAAAGTTTGTTTTTAGTTTATTACGAACTAAGTTTTATTATGGCAGCAAATGAACCACATGGTTTCATCAAACAACTGAAATCAATACTCCTTATATATCCTTCTTCCGAAAATTATCAAGAAAGGTTGGTTATTAACTGGTAATTAAATTAATCTATAATAAAACACTAAATAATATTGAGTGAAATTTCTTTGTTTGTTGTACGAGGATTGAACCTCAATTTGGTCGTTATCGATCATTTTGGTCTGCATTTCAGCAATTCGCCATGATTGTATGTGGAGCTTTCAGTTGCCAAGTATGATCGGAACAGGCTAAATTACAGATTTATCATCCTGAAAATTTCACAAAATTTCAATGTAGCCAATTTTACTTAAGGAGGATATGGTCGATTTACAAGTATGGAATTTTTCTTGATGTTTGGACTATTTTTTATATTTTTAGTACAATTACTTTAAAACTGAACATGTTTTGCAAAAATCCTAAAAAGTGTCGCATTTTACACATTTTTATTTTTGTGAAATAAGTTCAAATTGATCTCTAGATTGTCCTTGAGTGAGTGAAACAATAACAGAAACAAACCATTGACTAGTGAGAAATTGAGAAATAGACAAACACAGACAGGATGATCGGATACAGACATACAAAAATGAATTGTGGATAATAAAAAAATTCTATCCTTAATGTTTAGTGCTTATAAATATTAGTAAATCAGATCCAACACTGAAGAAGCCGACAAAGGAAAAAAATCGTAGACGGTACTAAAAATACTAAAACTGCAAGTTATAACTGATTAGAAGGGGGCGTCGGTGGCCGCAACGGTTTAGGCGTTGTCAAGGCACTCATAACTGTAAGGTGAAGGTTCCGGGTTCGAATCCAGCAGCCCTGCATTCGAACCCGACGTACTTACAAATGGGCTTTTTTTCAAAAACAACGGCACCCCGAGGGTTGATATAATCTCTGCTGTTGCGAATCTTCGTAAAAAAAATATATATATATATAACTGATTAGTGTTACTAAGTCAAAATTTCATGACTACAATACATTGTTTATTCATCATATATATGCAATTATAAATCTCTGTATTTTTTTGATAAAATTTTGCAATTAATTGGCAAAATTTATGATAAAGTGATAATCATTTGTAACGTGATAAAGAAAGACAATTTTTTAAACTCCGTGACAACACTGCATAAATTTTTGATAACTGGTTTTAAAGATAATAAAATATTATTAGATAAGATATAAAATTTTAAAGATTATAAATCCTATGAAATAACGTAAGTGAAAAAATACCTGTTTTCCCGTTTCAAAGCAGATCTTTTGAGAAAATCAAATAAAAAACTGTAACAGAAATAATAATAAAACCAAGGTATTAATCTATGTTAAATTATATAAAAAGAATATAATTTTTACGAGTCTATTTCCAATAAAAATTCCGATAATACAATGTTACAAAAATGACTTTGAATTTAATGTGAAATCAAATAGTAAAAAAGTATATACATGTTATGAATTATCAATTATTAGATTCTTCGGAAAATGATACTCTTTTTTGTTTATAAAACAAAACCCATTAAATAAATATTTTTAATGATGTTTTATTAACTGAAATACTCTCATCACAATTAATACACTTCTCCCAATGATGGTAACTTCTCTGTACCCTCTGAATAGAACTTTGAGTGTTTATAATTAACAAATTCAGTAAACGCATTTTCTAACGACTTTTGATCAATAAAATTTTCATGTTGTACAAGGTTGTCCAGGTGTCTAAAAACCGATTGACCCAAATGGCCTCAATTATGCCAATTTCTGGCATTGAAGTTTCGTCAGGATTCAGGAAATAAATCAACTGAAATGAATCCCGCCAAAGAGTCACCAACACCATTTTTTGATGTCTTGGGGGCTTCAGAAAATGTGGTGCCTCTTCTCCTTTGTCGAAACACTGTCCAGAAAATCTGCTATTATCGTAGAGATTACCCATTCCATCAAAAGTAACAATTCTATCCAGAAAAGTTCTTTAGTGACTGGGAGTTTTTTGGTGGCCCTGACAAGGGCCGGTGTTATATGGAAGCATAGCGTTGAGACGATGTATCGAGGCCTGGACCGATTGTGTGTGCCTGTTGGTAGAGAGAGCAGTCAGCCAGGTCCGGGGCCGTGAGTCGGCTGATTCTATATCGGTTGAAGGGACCCTGGTGCAGCAGTTGGCCGAGTGCAGCCTACGGCCAAGTCGGCTATGTTGAGAAGGCGATTTCGAGGCTAGAGTTCGATCGCTCTTGATATCGTCGTAGGTGCTTCATTATTGATAAGCGAGAACTTGTTGGAGAGTATGAGTCTGCAGTCGTTGTCAATTAGTGATTGGTGAGAACTCGTCGGGTAGAACTCGGGTAGACGATTTCTCACCAATCACTATGCACTGACTCTGCTCTGATTCGCTGCAGAGTGGAGGGCGAGACTAGAAACAACCGGTAGTGACATCTAACGGGTATCGTGGTAACCGTAGGTGTCCATCACAGTTCAGTTATGTTTCGCAAAGATTTGTAGCGCAAATTACTTAACGATTAATTTTTTGGTTGTCTTTTAATGCATGAAGAACCCAACTTTTTAGATTTTTCCTTTCCATTTGCCTTAAGGCGGTCAGCGACGGTCGATTTGCAAAGTGAAAGATTCTCTGCAAGTCCTCGACCATTTGCTCTATGAGTTTTTAATTATCAAAGTTCGCAGAACATTATCGTCTAGGGAAGAAATCCTTCCATGACCTTCTTTCTCTTAAGTCTGAACCCTTCCTCTTGAAATTTTGTAAACAATCTCCGTACGGTGCTCTCACTCACATTACCATCTCCCCAGACTTCATTTATGTTTCAGGCCGTTTGGGCACCGAAAATGTGGTACCATTTGTCGAGCCACTGTCCATAAGTATCTGCTATTATCGTCGAGAATCCCCTTTTCAACACAAGTAACCGTTCTATCCAGACAAGTTCCTTTCTGTTTCGGCAAAGAAGTGTTGCCAAAAGTTATAACGATAATTTTTTTGCCGATCGTTTAATGCATGAAGAACCCAGCTTTCGAGCTTTTTCAACTATCTGTTTGTCTTAAGGGTGATCAGCGACGGTCGATTTGCTAACTGAACGATTCTCTGCAAGTTCTGTATCAGTTGTTCTGGGATTTTCTCCCACCAAAGCTCGAAATTGTTTAAACCTTCTGTTAAACCATCTGACATCGCCCCGGACTTCATTACTATCTTTGGCCGTTTGGGCACAATTCCGACCAAGTTGGGTTTCTGTGCGAAAATCACTCCTTGAGCTATTAGTAAAGACTGAATTATTCCTAGGTAACGAAATGCTACTGAGATAAACAAAAAATTTTCTTTAGAGAAGGATTTAAGAGAATTGACATTTACAAAAGAAATGGTTACAAAAGAATAACCATCAAACATAAACAGTATTATATATAGGGGTAAATGAAAGAAAACTTGATAACCTGCATAATTTTCCGGACAGCCCAGTATTATTATTATGAAATTAAAAAATACGTCAATCACCAATTTAAATTTTTTTCAAGAAAATAGTAAAACAAATATTATATTACATTTATATATGGTATAAATACAAGGCTGCCTAGTTGTAATTGTTCATCTCTATACTGATTGCAAGTACTTATATATGATATAATATTATTTAGATTATCATACCGGGTATGGCATCAATGTAGTTGCCTCTTTCGCCTAACATTTCGGAAAATAGGATGGTCACGACAGCTGTGACGATCAGGAATAACATAGCACCACAGATAACGATTGTAAGACAAGAATTGTTACGCATTCCGGATAAGATTTCTTTTCTTTTCTTTTATTTTTAATAAATATTTTAGAAAACCATCAAACTAGGAGGCTATTTTTCAACACATGTTCTGATTTTTAACCTGCGATAAATTTATTGATTAAATAAAATTCAGATTTGTAAATTGAAAACTCAATTTTTTTAAATAAAAGGAAAGATTTTTTTCTTTCCATTGGCGTGTTTTGACAATCATGCACCTGCTAAAATCCAATTACAAATTTTCAAGTAGAACTTTTTCTCTAACCTACTCGTTCTGTACAATTAATTAAAAGTTCCAGCGATGCGGGCAAAAATATCATTTTCATATTTATTAAGCTATAACATTTTTTTTGGCCATCTTATCTTATATTTCAAAAATTCAATGAAATAATAGGTCGGATTGAAATTTTCCAGAGTTTTTATTTTGTTAATTGTTTAAACGAAAATATATAAGTGTAAACCATCTTAAATGTTGCCATTTGTCGAAAATTTGTATAGCGAAAATCGGAAAATGAATAGGAAAAAAAATTATCAATTTTGGTCTTTCTATCCTCGATAGGTTGTTAGAATCTGTCAGATGTGTTTTGGCATTACCCCATTTTCAGTGTTGTTTCATAATAATTTACAATTACAAATATTAATCATCAGCTAACATTAAGATTTTATTTGGAGATCGTGAGGTGCGGTCTGGTGTGAGGTAGGTTTTAGAAAAACATTTTCTTTATCGTGCCAACGTTCCAGTTTTTATTGAGAGATCATCTTCAGGGCCTGGGATTTATAAATTTTGTTTAAATTTTACAAATACATGTAGGATGTGAAAAAATGAAAAAAATAATTAATACAATGCTAGAAAATCTTAGATAAAAAAAGAAATTATACTATGCTTGAAAATTTTAGATTTAAAAAAAGAATGAATTTATACAATGAAAGAAAATTTTAGATTAAAAAAATGAATTTATACAATGCTAGAAAGTTTTTGATTTAAAATGAATTTATACAATGCTGGAAAATTTTTGATTAGAAAAAATGAATTTATAAAATGCTAGACAGTTTTAGATTTAACATGAATTTACACAATGCTGGAAAATTTTTGATTAAAAAAATGAATTTATACAATCCTAGAAAATGTTTGATTAAAAAATGAATTTATTCAATGTTAGAAAGTTGTAGGTTAAAGAATGAATTTATACAATGCTAGAAAGTTTTAGATTTAAAATGAATTTATACAACGTTGGAAAATTTTTGATTAGAAAAAATGAATTTATAAAATGCTAGACAGTTTTAGATTTAACATGAATTTATACAATGCTGGAAAATTTTTAATTAAAAAAAATGAATTTATACAATGTTGGAAATTTTTTGATTAAAAAATGAATTTATAAAATGGTAGACAGTTTTAGATTTAACATGAATTTATACAAATCTGGAAAATTTTTGATTAAAAAAATGAATTTATTCAATGCTAGAAAATGTTTGATTAAAAAATGAATTTATTCAATGTTAGAAAGTTGTAGGTTAAAAAATGAATTTATAAAATGCTAGACAGTTTTAGATTTAACATGAATTTATACAATTCTGGAAAATTATTGATTAAAAAAATGAATTTATAAAATGCTAGACAGTTTTAGATTTAAAATGAATTTATACAATGCGAGACAATTTTAGATTCAATCGAAGTATCTATACTCATTCAAAGTGTTGTTTTCCGTGTAGATTTTATTCAATGTTAGAAAGTTGTAGGTTAAAAAATGAATTTATAAAATGCTAGACAGTTTTAGATTTAACATGAATTTATACAATTCTGGAAAATTATTGATTAAAAAAATGAATTTATAAAATGCTAGACAGTTTTAGATTTAAAATGAATTTATACAATGCGAGACAATTTTAGATTCAATCGAAGTATCTATACTCATTCAAAGTGTTGTTTTCCGTGTAGATTTGTCATTCTTGTCAGTCGTGTTGAGAGTGCCAGTGAGATATTGCTGTTTTATGTATGGATTTTGAAGTGATGAGGAAGGAAGTCTGGATAGAAAGACATTTTTATGTGAGGAGTCGGCTTCTTTGAGGCGAAAGGAGCCGACAATGGGAAAAATGTGGGTAATGGTTCGGCCTGATTACTGATTATTCATTCAGGATCATATAGACCGAGATAATTAGGGAAAGGAAAGCAAAATTGTTGAAGAATTTGAAATTCACTATTTTTCGTGGTCCGCTTAACCAATATCATTCAATTAATTAAGGTTTTTAGTTGAGATAAAAAAGTCAGTGTGACGAGCGGGAAGTCTCGATAGCTCATTAATTGAACTATGTAGAAATGTTTGATGTGTGGAATCTGATGATTGTTTTATATGTATATATAAATATAATATAATTTAAATTGAAATTGATGCTCGAATTGTCGTGCTTTTTTAGCGTAGTTTCATTTTATGTCTGCGGTTCACTGCGGACGGAAACGGATTCAAAAGACCAATTGGCCAGAAGATAGGGATCAGGGATTTAAAACCAAATGTCCTTTAGGGCGCCAGGCAGCCGCCTAACAAAGACAATCTAACTGTCCTCGATTATTTAACATTTCGCTTTAAAAAAAAAATTAGCATATGATTGTTTATTATACTAAAGATTTATTTTAAACAGTGAAAACTAATAAAAAGTAAAACTTTTTTCTTCAAACCGTCTATTGTTAATATTGAAATGCATTGCTTTTAGCTGTCATAACATGAATTAAAAAGATCGCATGGGTGATCCGGATGTCGCCAGCGTCACATCGGCAGCAAGCGAACAACAACGGCCTTCAAGAAGAAAGTAATCGTAATCGAAATAATCAGAGATTTTCTATTTTTACGTTCAAGTTTTTGTAAATTTTCAGAAAATGTCTTCGATGGATGGGATCCAACAAGTTAATTTTCATTGGCACTGTGTCGATCGGTGTGATAAGCGGAGTGGTCTTCATCCTCTATCTCGTCTTCAACAACCAGCCGGATCCCATGCCCATCCTATAAACGCGCGACATATTTACAGTCCGTTGGTGCAGTTTGATGCAGGAAAATTCAGCCAATAACACTGAGATGATTAGTTCTGAGTGGTTTTTTTGTACAACAAATGTGTTTGTCGATTTATTAAGATTTATATTTGGAACAGATCTGAAAAATTATGTTTAGTTTTTGTGCACAATAGGGTTTTTTGCCATGTGTTTGAGAGCATGATATTACAACAAACGTGAGTTCTTTTACTTAGAAAACTGATCCGAACTCTCATAACAGACCTTTAGAATAAATCAATAATATTTATTAAAATCGTTTTATTACTTACTCACTCAAAGAGTAAAAATACTTCGAACATAAGAAATATTAAAATTCACTATTTTTCGTGGTCCGCTTGACCAATATCATTCAATTTATTAAGGTTTTTAGTTGAGATAAAAAAGTCAGTGTCACGAGCGGGAAGTCACTTCTTGAAGTCACGATAGCTCAAGTGGTAGAGTAGCGGTGTATCAATCCGAAGGTCGTGGGTTCGAATCCCGCTCGTGACACTGACTTTTTTATCTCAACTAAAAACCTTAATTAATTGAATTATGTAGAAATGTTTGATGTGTGGAATCTGATGATTGTTTTATATGTTATATGTTTTGTGTAAACACAACACATTAAGATTTGAGTTAGTACTTTATGCTCGCTATTTGTCCGATAGAATTTTTTTTTTGCGTTATCTGTATTCAGCGGTAGGGTTCATGTGTTGCCTCACTCTGCTTATCTCCCTGACGTACAGTTGAAGATATCGAAATGCCGAACCGCGCCTGAGAGACCAACCCAATAAGGATAGGCAAACCAGTCGATAACGGCCTTACAGGATAAAAAGTATCCGCAGCCTAGAATGATTCCAAATGAGAAAGTTAATGAGCTGAAAGTTAATAGGATTTTTAGCAATTTCGGCCTAACGGGCTCAAGAAAAATATTCCCTAGGTTTTTAATTTCCAATCTTGGGTTTTCATGTTTTCCCCCTCTTAGGTCGCAAGTGACGGTAGTCTCCATTTTGTTCCCCTGGGCAAGAGATTGATTGTCTGACCCTTCTTTATATCAATACCCTGGAATATTCACTACCCTTAAGGTAGGATCTTTCGGCGTACTTCTTTGCTTATTCCTCGTCGTTGGTGTCATCTTTCCAAAGTGTTTCAGTTCGACAAGTTTCTGTCTCAGTTTTCCTATTAAAGAGGCAATTAAATGAGAAATGGCTAGTAAAAAGGCCTATTAATTTCCTTAATCTCATAACATAATACACATACGTACACCAGATATACTCATTGACCGTTGTACAAGTTCCTCACAAAATTCCTTATCAAACTGGCTTTAGATGTGTTATTAATAACTAAAATGTTGGGTAGCAAATTGATCCATCATCCTATATATGAGAGAAGTGCAGTTAGTACGGGAAAATTGTTAGAATACGAATTTTACTACGAATGTGGAACTTTTTATTGTATATAGAAGTTAAATTATGTGTTTTGTGTTTCTGGGTCTTGTATGAGTGAATGTATTTATTGGTGTGAATGGGGAGTGGACGTAGGAGGTTCTCCACCGCCCCACAGGCTTAGGTTGATGGCGAAAATTTTATGCATGTACCCCATCGACCCCAATAGTAGTTAGTAGTTTCCCCCCCCCGCTCGCGGCTGAAATGACCTACCTGTCGGATGCCCCAGAAAAAAAAAAACTAAAGGTGTGGAAGATGGGGCGTGAAAATTGAAGCATGATAGCAATTCTGGGGAGTTAATATTATTAAGAAGGCCGTGGATAAATATTATATCTGACAATTAAATTAGATTTAATGCGGGCGGTCTTTGTCTGATGCCGGATAATCATCGTTGTTCTGTTATTACAGTAATGGAATTTCGGAGTGTTTTGATGACTACATATGATAAAAATCTTTTGAATTGAACCAATAAATTCCATAAAATAACAAAGGTTATCACCATATTTGCTGAACGATTTTCACGGTGTGAAAAAAAAAATTATGCGAATGAGAGAAAAAGGCCACATGCCGTTGGCCTTGGTCTGCAGATTTTGACCTCAGGGTTTTCAGATAATTAATAAAGTTCCTCCT